AGATTCAGAGCGTACTGGAAGGGTGTGATACAGGTTGGACACAGTGAAGACTGAATGGGTGAAACGGAAGATCGTCAGTAACAAATCAAAGCACAAAGAGAAAGAAGGAAACACCAGGACGGAGTTTGAGGACATGTGGGCACACTCAGGATGGAGTCCCGCGATGGGGGCTCTGTCCCTGGGCAGAGCGCTGGCGGGTGGGAGCCCGAGGATGGGAGACTGGCTGCCCGTTGTCCACCCTGGCCTGCTCTGGACGCAGGAAGGCAAGTCCAGAATGATGGTCCATCCCCAAGGGCAGTGGAGGCCAGAGCACATTTGTGGAAGGAAGCCATCATCCGGATGGCAGGACCCTTGCTCGGGGCAAGGCCATTTCCCCTCCCGGCTGGGAGTCCAGGGCTACCAAGTGGTACCCACCCTCCTAACAACCCACCACCCCCAAGGGGCTGTGGCCTCTGGAAGGAACCCACTGGAGCCAGCTCCTTTCTACTGAACCCTGTGTGCCACTGAATTTAGCAAAGCAGTCAGAAATGAGTCCTTTGAAAAAATGCTCAGTATGTGTAGAGCAAATCTTTAAAGTCACATTTAATGAGAAATGTGAGATTTTCTGATTAATAATTCTCAGAGTGAATCGCAGGCATGCAGAGTTACTTCTGCACAGAGCACAGTAGGTTTTAGGGGTGGGGCCCCCACTACCCCCTGGGCAGCAGCAACCCCTGCATTCCTGTTTCCTGCAGGAGCCCTGGCCCCTGCCCCCCCACCCCGGCTCTGGACGAAGCAGTGAGCCCCTCTCTGTGGACACCCAGGTCCTCTCGGGTCCAGGCCGAGGTCACCATGCAGAAGAGGAAGGTTCTCCTGGCCACCGTGTGGAAAAGGAAGGTTCTCCGTGTCCTCCACCTACCAGGGGCTGTCCCTGGCCACCGGTATCTTCAGGCCTTTCCCTACATCCCTCTCCCCATCCTTGGCCCCTGTCGCCTACACTCAGGACCGCCCAGGCCCTTCCCCACTGTCTGCAGAGTGTGTCCAGCATGCACACTGGATGTGCACCTGTCCTTCCCTCGTGGTGCAAATGGAGAGAGGGCCATGGGCTGTGTGGCCAGCAGCTCTGCAGGATGTCCTGACCAGGAGATGGGGGACCAAGTCTGCTCCTAGGAGGGCAAGGAGCCGATTGGCTTTTTTAAGGGTTGAGTGCCTCATTCGTGAGTCTCTCATGGGGGCTTAAATCCCATCCCTCTCCAGGAATACCCTCAGGAAGCCACAGCATGTGGGAGAAACAGTCCAGTAGTGTGGTCACTGGCTGTGATACACCCGTCCCCCATTTGAGGCTTCATGTCCTTCCTGGGCCAGTGTCTTGTCCCTCCCCACATGGCAAGGAACAGCACCCCATCAACCCAATCTCAGGGCTGACGTGACGTCTCTGTGTTGAGTCACACAAAGGTGGCGACCATGGGGATCTCGGGAGAGGGACGTGGACATGGCTTTCCTCCCTGGAATGGCAGCCCTGTGCCTACAGCACATTTCCTCCCCTGAAAACTGGGCAGTTAGATTCCCACCTCACAGGCTGCAGGGACACCTGTGGTCACCCCCCCAGAGGGAGGGGGCGAGGCTGGGGAGAAGCTTCAAAGTGCACACCATGGCTTTATTTGGACCTTCGCCAATGAGAAGCCACAGCAAAGGCAGGCCCTTTGGGGAGTACAAGCTCGTCTGAGTCCGAAATGGGTCTCGGGGCAGTTCTCTGCTCAATGCTGCTCCTCGGTGACTCATCCTAAAGCCATCTTCTGGAGCAGCTAAGACAGGTCCGGCTAAGAGCAAACGTTTCCTTTCTCTCTCGGTCTCCCATTTTCATGCCCCACACAACAGCTCTCTTCAACATCGGGGTTAGGAAAGCGTTCCCACCCACAAGGGTGCAGAGTGGCTTCTCTCCACAAACAGCCACGTCCCTAGGGGGCCCCAAGAATACCTGGGAAGACATGAATGAACTAAGCCGAACCAGTCCCAGCAAGCTGACCGTCAGTGCACGCTGGCTGTGGGACGCAGCGGCCGAGGACAGGATGAAGAGCTAAGCCAATTGGTTTCCAGTGGGTTCTTGCTCCCCCTGGATGAGGCACCAGGCCCACTCCTCTGGCTCCCGCACACCCTCTCCTCCACTGGGATGGCAGCACCGACGCCCTGGGAGGCCACCCCGGGAATCCCACAACCCGAGCTCCCGCGGAGATGCGGCCTATCCACAAGAGCATTTAATTGTGTGTTACTTCGTCTGGTAACACACAAAACCTCCGGCCCTGGATGGGACTCCGGCCGGCAGACCTGGTCTGGAAGGACTGGCGTTTCTCCCCACCATGTCAGGGCCCTACCGCAATGCCACCGTCCAGTGTAGCTGGACACTGGAGCCCATGTGGGCCCTTCCCACCAGGACTTACAGGTGAACAATGGGTGCGGGAAGGGAGGATGGGTGACAGTAAGACTCTCTGCAGTGAATCTGTGCAAGAGATGTATGAAACTATTCCTCTCCTTTTTTTGTTGCCTGTGAGGAGGAACAAAAGAGAAAGCCGGTAAAAACTCCTGCATCCGCAAGGAGCTGAGGGCTGAACTTCTCTTGCGATAGAAGAGCAACCATGTAAATGTTTGTTTAAACTCCAAGTATTTGGACTCCAACAGAATGTGCAGCCCTCCTTTCTCAGTCGTGATGACTACAACAGTTTTCAAGAAGGTTTTCTTTGGTGAATCACCTGATTATTTAAACACGCTTTTCTTTTTTATTAGGGCTTGACTCCAACTGGGTCACCTGCCCACAGATCCAAGCATGCGTGGGCATGTAAGCTTTTTGGGTCAGGTGGTTTCTCTGAGCACAACTGGCCATGCTCCGGTCAGATTCCAAGACACGCTGGCGGAGCCTGTGCCCGGGAAAGGCCCCAGCCCCAGGTTGGCTCTGAACCCATCTAGGGGATGTAGAGTCTGTGCCCGGGAGCACAGCAGGTCAGTTACACTTTGATGGCCATCCCAAGGACGGAGGTCATCAAGCCAGCCAAGAAGCGGGAATGCATCCACCCCACAAACATCTCTGGAATGTTCTCTAAGCCTCAGGAGCTGCACAGGCCTCGAGGACGAGACAAAGACAAGCACTAGCAAGCTCAAAGGCACACCAGGGACTTTGGCCTTTTTCCCCTCGAGAGTCTCAGCCCTTGGGGCAGTGGGGGCCCTTAAGCTTGACCAGCATGGTCATCCTGGTCCTCTTCTAGTCTGACAAGACTTGGCCACACTCACTTTTTTGGGTTTCTCCCCCTTCACCCTTTCCTGTTGCAAGAGCTCACATGTCCTGGGCCAGTGGAGATGGGGCCTTGGAATGAGGACAGGTCTGGGGCCAGGTTCTGGTCCCTGCTGGCCTCCAGGTCATGACTTTGGCCCTGTAAGGGCCTTGAGGCCGGTTTAATCACATACTTTCCAGTTTGTGGCAGGTCACAGTAAGGTGTCTTCGTCACAGGGTGGTTGGGTGAACCATAGCTATTTGGGGACCATGCAGAGCCTGGCTTGAGTATCACTTAGGCTAAGACCAGGGGAGGGTGGAGGATTAATGGCCCAACATCTGTGAAAACGTCTAAGCTCACCCAGGTGTCTAGGCACTGGTTCTGGAATTGTACAGCATATTGAAAACATCTGGAGAATTTAAGACACTGACTGATGCCTGGATCCCATGTGAGAATTCTGATGCAACTGATATGGGCAAATGGTGGTTTTCTGTTGATTCGTAACAAATGACCAAATTTAGGCTTAAAACAACACACATTTATTTTCTAGTTTCCATGGATTAGGAGTTGGAATATGCCTTGGCTAGGCCCCTTGCTCAGGGTCTCACGCAGCTGCAGCCGAAGTGTTGGATGGACTGTGCTCTCAGCTGCCAGAATTCTCTTCCTTGTGGTTTTGGGCCTGAGGGCCTGGCTGTCAGCTGGATGCACTTTCAGGTCCCAGAGGCTGATCAGTTTCCCGCACAGTTCACGGCATGGCTGTTTCCCTCTTCAAGGCCAGAGCTGGCTTGGGGTCTTATGTACATTCATGGTAATGTCATTGCAGGAGGGACACCTCTTTGCCACAAACTGTGACTTCAGGCAGTAGCATTGACCCCCGTACCACTCCTTGGTTCGAAGCAAGTCCCAGGCTCCACCTCCAATCACAGGGAGGGCATGACCACTGGGGGTCACCTCAGCTGTGTCTACCACATGCTGTGACATGAGCAGTGGGACTCTTAAAATTCCCAAGAAAATTTTAACGTGCAGCAAAATTTGAGAACCACTGATGCAAGGACCTTTGCCTTCATCTGTTCCAGACTAGCTGTGTCTCCTGCAGGCTCTGCTCAGTCCAGCTCACCAATTAGGACAAATGTACCACTGGTGCAGATGCTGATAGTGGGGAGGCTACGCATGTGAGGGGCAAGTGTAAATGGGAACTCTGTACCTGCTGCTTAATTTTGCTCTGTACCCAAAACGCTCTAAAAATAGTCTATGTTCAAAAAAGAGTTCAAATAAAGAGTTATTTTGAAGTGAAAAGAGGCCCAAAAGGGGGAAATGTGTTTAAAATGTAAATAACTGGGGCGCCTGGGTGGCTCAGTCGTTGGGCATCTGCCTTCGGCTCAGGTCATGATCCCAGGGTCCTGGGATCGAGTCCCGCATCGGGCTCCCTGCTCCGCGGGAAGCCTGCTTCTCCCTCTCCCACTCCCCCTGCTTGTGTTCCTGCTCTCGCTATCTCTCTCTCAAATAAATAAATAAAATCTTTAAAAATCTAAAAAAAAAAATAAATAAATAAAATAAAATAAAATGTAAGTAACTGAGGCTTGATCAGTTTCCCGAATTCCTAAAGAAGCTTTAATCAAAAGAAAACAAGAAGGAGCCCACTCTCAGCCACAGGACAGGACCCGTGACCAGGCAGGGCACCCACGAAGGGACAAGGACCGTCAGAGACGCGGCCGCCTGCACCGTTTCAGAAACCCGCGGATGGAAAGAACAGGGAGAACAGTTCTGCGGGCGGGGGCGGAGCAACACCTGGGAAGGCATGATGGTGCTGGGGGGGCAGAGGGGGACAGCCTGCCTCCCTGGGGGGGCCCCACAGGGCTCTCCTGGGAGGGAGGTGGTGACTCAGCAGTTTCATTTCCTGGTGGGCTGAGGCTCATGGGAGATATGCAGATGAGCCCAGAGCACCATGGGAAAGGGCCCTTTATATTGCCAGGTGGGCCGCTTCCCCTCCTTTCTGAGGGGCGCCCACAGGAGGGAGGTGCCAGGCCGGGTGAGAACCCCTCGGGCTGAGGGGCGGGTCTGGGGGACACAGGCTGGTGGGGTGGGCTGGGCTGAGAGGCTGAAGCGCCCAGGTGGTCCAGCCTGGCCTCGGGCCGGGTGGGGGGGTTGACTCGACAGGCTTCCCTCAGCTTCCCTCATCAGGTCGCATCCGGTTCCCTCAGGTCCCGTCAGGTTTCCTCAGGTCCTGTCAGGTCCCATCAGGTTTCCTCAGATCCTGTCGGGTTCCCTCAGGTCGCATCCGGTTTCCTCAGATCCTGTCGGGTTCCCTCAGGTCGCATCCGGTTTCCTCAGATCCTGTCGGGTTCCCTCAGGTCGCATCCGGTTCCCTCAGGTCCCGTCAGGTTCCCTCAGGTCCCGTCAGGTTTCCTCAGATCCTGTCAGGTCCCATCAGGTTTCCTCAGATCCTGTCGGGTTCCCTCAGGTCGCATCCGGTTTCCTCAGGTCCTGTCAGGTTCCCTCAGGTCCCGTCAGGTTCCCTCAGGTCCCGTCAGGTTTCCTCAGGTCCCACCAGGTTCCCTCAGGTCCCGTCGGGATCCCTCAGGTTCTCTCAGGTTCTGCCGCGCGAGGCTGACTGGCTGTCGGGGTCTGGGGGTGGGGGTCGGGGGGGTTGGGTGGGGAGGGCGCGTGTGCCCCACAGGCCTGGGGGCAGGGCTGAAGGGGCCAGGTCTCAGCCCCCCGCCCCTGCCCCTGCTCCTCCCGGTGACGGGTGACCGACCTCACTTGCTTGTCCGCTGCGTCTTCCCAGAGAACGGAGCCGTCGCACAAGCTGAAGAATCCTCCGGAAGTCTGACCTTCCCGACCCCTGCGGATCCCTGGTGACTTGGGACCCAGCTCCTCCACCCCACCCCAGATACCCGGCCGGGAGCCCCCTCTCTTCCTCTCCCCCGCCCTCCCTGCCCCGCCCCCGCCCCCGGGCCAGACCCCGAGCCCCCAGCCCGGCCCACTCTCGCTGCCCACCCCGGTAGGAGGCAGGCCGCGTGGCCATGTGCCCCCCGGTCAGCGTGCGCTATGGGGGCGAGGGCATGTCCTACCTCCATGCATCCTGGATGTATCAGCTTCAGCATGGCGACCAGCTGGCGGTTTGCTTCGCTTGCTTCAAGGCTGCCTTTCTGGAACTCAGAGACTTGCTGGGCTTGGAAGACTGGGAAGATGAGGACTGGGACCCCGAGCCGACGGAGCACGCCGAGGCGGGGCCTGAGCAGGGGGGGCCCCCGGGGCTGGGGTTCGGCTGGGGGCAGGGCCAAGGTCACCCCGCACAGGGGGGCACTGTGGACTGGGGGCCAGGCACCCCGGCGTCAGCCCCCGCGGGGTCTGAGGAGGTGGGCCTGGACCACCACTTTGTGCCCACCGAGCTGGAGCCTCACAACGCGGCACCCTTGGGCCTGGGTCCCGAGGACGCCGACTGGACCCAGAGCCTGCCCTGGAGGCTCGACGGGCCCCCCACCTGCTCGCACTGGCCGAGTCTCCCTCCTCCGTGGCAGGGGTTTCTCAAAGTGGACCTGCCCCCGGGGGAGCCCATGGTGCTGGAGCTGGGCACCACCCGGGCCGTGGACCCTGCCGAGGCCGAGGCCTGGTTAAGGGACCTGGAGGTCGTCTCCATGGTGGGTTGCTACGATGCCATCTACCTCCGGAAGATGACAGTAGGATGGACCCTGAGGACCCCGGGCCGGGGCTGGAAACTGCTGCTGGAGCCCGACGAGCTGTGGGTGGTGAGACTACAGGACGCGCCCCAGGAGCAGGACCTGCACAAGTGGAAGCTGAGCATTCTGGAGCCCTGTCCTCCAGGGCAGACCGAAGAGCTGGTCCCTGCGGACTCAGCCCTGCTTAAGAGGGGGTTCACCATCCTCTCCTACTCACCCTGGGCCAAAAGGGAGGCAGGGGAGGGGGCCTCCGCAGCCAGGCCACAGTCCTCGTCCTCCCAGGGGCGGGATCCCAGCACCACTGAGACCTGGAGCCACGGGCCCAGTGGGCCCCGGGGGCCTGGGGAGGGCCCGGCTGCCATGGGAGCCTCGGCCCTGGGGGAGCTGCCCTGTTTCCAGCCCTTCAGGCCAGGGCCCCAGAACTGAGGGACTGAGGCCCAGGTGGCCACCGTTGTCCCGGCCGCCCCCTCCCCACAACAGCCAGGGGCGCGACTGGCAAAGAACGGGGGACTAGTGCCTGGGGAGGGAGAATGGGGAGCTGCCTAGGGACTGAGGAAGGGGACGCGTCACTGCCTCCGTGGAAGGGGCCCAAGGCCTGTAAGCGGGAGAGAATTTCTCCTCCGTCAAATGTCGCGGAGCCAGGAACGTGACGCCCTCTGGGGCGCGGTTGGTGAATGGCTGCCGCGCAGCTCGGCAAGTGGGGTGCGGCACACGCGTCTGTGCACCAGCCCTGCCCTGGCCACACGCAGGGATGTGTCCAGTGGGGCCCGTGTCCCAGGAGCACGCGGAGGTGGGGGCAGCGGGGCTGTGTGCTTGCCTGTGCCTGGCTGGTCTCTGGGGCCCCGGGGGACCCTGTCAGCCGCAGTGGGGACCCTGGTCTGCACGGGGAGAGACCCTCGTTTCATATGTTGGCCATTTTATGCAGTTTGACCGTTTAGTGCCCGTTTCTTTGTGTGTTGTTTTTTAACTGAATAAAGTCAGAAGAGTTTTGCATCCAGGCCCTGGGTGAGTCATCTGTCAGTTCGTCCTTGTTGGTGGCCTTGTCTTCTCCCTCTCCGGGACAGGTCAATCCTGGCAACAGCAGCTTCTCCAGTCACAGGTGAAGTCTATAGCTTCCATGTTAGCGACAATGGGACACACCAGGGTGACCTGTCTGGGCCTTCCTACTGTAACTCCTGGGAAGGATCAGAATTGGGCTAGAGAAGGTGTCCCAGGAAGGTTGGAAGCAATGCCAGGCAGTGTGTAACCCCCTTCCCCGGCCCCAGCCAGACACCCCAGTAACCCCATAAATATCCAGTTGAAATCCCAGGCGTGGTTTATGGGGCTCGGAACCTAACATACACAACACTCACATTCACATAACTCACACCAAATGTCTGATGTGACAGAGGCACACATCACACAGCCCTTTGGTGTATAGAATGTCAGTAAATTGTGCCACGGACATTTCACATTGTGTTAAATGTCCAGCACCCTTCTGTGGTTGGTGCTGGAAACCATCAGTCACTAAACATTTATTGAGCACCTACTGTGCACCACGCCGTGTCCAGGCATCAGGATATACCAACATACAAAACAGATGGAGAGTTCCAAGGGGTGGATCTTCCACTCCACGGAGGGAGACAGATGGTAAAAGATGTGGTTGCAGATGGAGAAGGTAGTGAATGAGGAGAGTCAGGTGTGCCAAAGGAGGTGGGGTCTCGTGAAAGTACAGTGTCCAGGAGACCAGAGGCAACTTCCCATCATGTTCAGCCTACTTTCCTTGTCTTATTTGCTTTGCCCACCTACTGAGGTCCATGACCTGTTGGTGGCTCCCGTCTTTCCAAAGGGCCAGGAGGCTGCAGTGTGGAAGTGTCCAGCTGGGTCTCAGCAGGGCTGTGTGAGACCAGAGCCCACCAGACACTGTATCAGAGCCGGGGTCATAATGCACTTAGAGGCTGCCCTTCTAGAAACAACTTCTGAAATTGTTTGCTTATTTCAAAAGAATGCATATTCATTGTCCACAATTTAGAAAACAGATAGGCAATGAGAGGAAAATTAACATCATCGGTAACCCAATCCTCAGAGAGATTGCTGTCACTATTTGGCATGGATTGTTGTCGTCTTTTTTCTGTGGGCAGTTAGAACTTTTTGTTTAAAAATCTCTTCTACAGTGTAGTGTCTGTGTGTTAGTGTTGAGTAGGAAGAAGAGCTGCAGGTCAGGCAGGAAAGGGGGAGCCTAGCACTGACATCCCCCGTGGCCAGCACTGTCCTCAGCCCTTCTGAGATGGGGTCTAGGTGAGGTGGGCCCTATCACACATCTCCCCTGGGGAGGCCCAGAGCCTGGCGGAGGCCCAGTGTCCCCTCTTTTCCCTCACGGCCAGGTCATTCCCCCTGAATCCAGAGTCCATGGCTTCCCCAGAGGCCTCAGGAGTGTGTGCAGGAAATGGTCCCTGAGCAGGAAAGGGGCGAATGCCTGCTGGGGCCCCAAAGCCCCTCCCCTGAAAGGGCCTGGGGTCTCGATACCATGTGCATGTCCTTGCATTGTAGCTGAACACGTCTGCAGACAACCTGACACCATTTAAAGTTGGGTTTCCAGGCAGCTGGGGGCCACGGCAAGGACAGAGGCTGCCCGGTGGAGGCAGCAGAGACCCCCCCTCCCCCGGGGGAAGCGTCTTGACAGCCGGGAGCAGCCACGGGCAGGCTGTGGCAGGGGTGGTGTCAGCTGGGGACGGGCCTGAGCCGGGAGGTCGGACCTTCGGAAACGCTGCTCCCCAGTCAGTGACCAGACGGGGTCTGCGGGCAGCAGGGCGCCCCGCACGCGTGTCGGTCCGGGGGAGCCCGGGTCCGGCCCCACAGCCACACGGCCCGCCCGGGCTGGCCGAGCGCCGTGACTCACAGAATCCTCTGTGCAGCCGACGGGGCTGTTGCCCTCGACTGCGGCAACACCGGCTTTCTGCTTTCAGGCGCTAAGTAACCGCGGCCGCGTAACTGAAAATGTCCTTTCTCGCCTCCTGCCTGCCGGGCTGCTGGTTTCAGACCACCTTCGTCCCGAGTTCTTGCTGAGTCATGCCCGCCTCGGCGTGGGGGGTGGGGCGGCTGTGGGTGCACCCCCTTCTCTCAGGGGGTGCACTGGAATACTCCATGCGGTGGAGGCGGGCAGGGGGCGGAGGGCCGAGTAGGTTTGTGAGAGGAGGAGGAAGACCAGTGTGTGGTGGGGCAAGTGTGGGGGCAGAAACCTCAGGGTGGTCACCCCGGGAAGACGCAGGCTGTTACTTCCCCCAAGCCCAGTGTGTCCTGGTGGTGTTGGCAGGGTCCCCGACCCCCACTGGGCCCACAGCACTCGTTTCAGCTGGTTCCTGTGCGAGCTCTTTCCAGAGACCCTTGAAGTCTGGGCACCTTTGGAGTTGGGGTTGCAGGCTCCTGTGCTGGAAGGTTCCGGAAGACAGGGCAGCTCCACACAGCTGGCTCACAGTCCCTCTGCTCTCCCCTCTTGGGTGGATTCTGTGGGTAGATTCGCACTTCCAGGCCTCTGTGTCCCCCACCACAGCCTGCAGAAGCCGTGACTTGCAGTGGGGCTCCCCAGGGCCCCCTCAGGTCACAGACCACCTGGCCCTCCCCACCAGGCCACCACAGCTGGGCATTTGGGGCTCATGCTTCCAGGCTGCATGGATTTGAGGGAGGGTCCCCATTCTAAAGGACTGAGCAGGGCTGATCTGGACAAGCCTCCTCCTCTGCCCGCCCCCCCGAGGAATGGAGGGGCAGCCTGTGGGTGTAGGGACGTTAGCCACGGACCCCTTTGCTTAAATGCACCCAACATAAAAGACCCTTCTGGTCCATCTTCTTCTTTTCTCCCATCATCCAACGAAAGTGGCATCTCCTTAAAAACACATATTGGATGAAGCTGAGGAGGGGAAGTACCAAGGATTATGATTCTGGGTGAATCAGGGGTGCCCGGCTGGCTCAGTCAGAAGAGCGCATGACTCTTGATCTCAGGGTCATGAGTTCAAGTCCCGCGTTGGGTGTAGGGATTACTCAAATAAACGAATCAATAAAAACTTAAAAAAAAATTCCGGAGTGGCCTTGCACTGGCCTCCCCCCGCAGCCGGCAACGGGCCTCCAGGAAACTGGCTCATCACCGACTGTCTTCTGTGCTCAACGAATAACATTCTTTTTGGTTAAAGAGAGCTTTACTTCAGTTTACTTGCTTATGTTGAAGTAGGAGCAAGACCAGGCTGTACAGAGGGCGCAGCTGGGAGGCTCAGGCCCTCGGCACAGGCCGGGGCTACACCCACTCAGCGCCCCCAGTGAGGGCCCCGGGAGCAGGCCGCCAGCCTCCCTGCTGCCGGAGGGAAGGCTGCCAAACCCATGTGGGTGGCCCTCAGGTCAATGCCACTGCCCTCATGGCCTCGTGGGGGTGCCGTCAGAGGGCACCGCCGGGCACACAAACGCAGCACAGCCTCCCCTTCTCGGCCCCCCTGACCCAGTCCAGAACCCAGCTTCTGTGGGCGGGCTCCTGGGGTCCTGTCGCAGGGTGGGCTCTGCTGGGCCACCAGGAGGATGCACAGCAACGAGCGAGAACCGCACACACACACGGAGGAGGCGGCGGGGGCGGTGACAGCTCTCTGGGCGTTAGGATCCTCCTCACTTGTCCCTGTCCCTGCCATGCTCCGTGCGTTTTGTTTAAAGATCTGCAAATGGATAAAACTAGGCATATAAACGCAGGCCTGAATCAAACCCATAAATGTTTGGGTAGTGAAAATAAGACTGTGGAAACTTGCACCCGACCTGCCCCCATGTGGCCTGGGGATCCCAGACAGCACAGATTTCCAGGCCCAGGACGCGGCTGATTGACTGTGTGCCAATGGCGCCCCCTGGTGGTCGTTTCAGGCTGGGTGGACTCCCCAAACCACATTCTGCAAAGGAGTGCCCGCCACACTCAGTCCCAGTCTCCCACTGGCTGCAGGAAGAGCCAGCACCAGCAGCCCGTCCTCAGAAACTTCCTGGGCACACTCAGCTCTGCAATCTGCTCTGGCCTCCATTTTCTGATCTGTGAAGTCAGGTCATTTTACGTGGGGTCCTGACAGCTCTCGGGGTCCAGGGTGCTCTCTGGCAGAGACTCGGGTAGCGGGCGGCTGAGGTGGGACAGAAAGGACGTCCCACCAACCCAGCTCTGCTTCCCGCTGCAACCCCGGAGACCCGCTGTGGGCATGCACTTGTGAGCGCGTGAGCACCTGGGAGTGTGGCAAGGGTGTGGTGTGGGTGTGAGTGTGCGCACGTTTGCATGTACGAGCATGGGTGTGCAGTGTCTGAGTGTGTGCACGTCCTCTGGGCCCCTCGGAGGAGGTGCCGTGGTTTCTGGGTCCCATCCCTCTCAGGCCACGTCTGGAGAATTGAAGTAAACAGAAATCGGCGACTAATAACCACAGGACTGTGGGTGGGGAAGGCCTGACCCCAAAGACAGGGCCACAGAGTTAGAGGGCTGAGACCCGATGTTGGCAAAAGTCACCTTTGGGGGTGGATGACACAGAACATTGGCCCTTTCTGCTTGTCTGTTTTCCATGGCTTCTGAAATGAACTTGAACTACGAAGGCAACCGGACAGCCATAAGGTTCTCAAGCTGTCCACGGTCCAGGCTGGGCAGAGCTGCAGAGAAGCATGGAGAACAGCCAAGGAGACTGGTGCAACCTTCCCTTGCAGACAGAAAACCCAGGCCAGGCTGCCAGGCACCAGGGCCGACATGGACCCCACCCCTGCGCTGTCCTCATGGACGTTGACCGGGTCTACCTTTGCTTGCTCCATTTCACCTGTGATGACTGGGACTTTGTCCAGTAAACGGCACGTGGCTGACAGTGTGGACTCCTGCAGCACCCCCCTTGTGTCCCTGTGCGCAGGTGACACTGCCTGGGACTCCAAGTAGCCCCGAGCTGGTCTTCATCACAAAGCTCCAGGGATGGTCACGCTCGTCCAGCGCTCGCCGGGAGGACAGCCGTGTACCT